TTTTTGAGAGAGGTTTTTGCTATAGGGTACTTGCGCTCACCAGAAAGACAGAGAGAGACAGAGAGACAGAAAGTAGAAATCACCCCTCGGGGGGTGGGGGATGGCCACTCCTCAATCCCTTCTCCTCCATTCTCCTCTCGGGATCTTGGGCACGTATGTACACATGCCCGGCGTGAGTTTAAGCCACCGGGTCCGGAACTTGAACTGTAGTAGACTCCATGGGAGTCCAGCGACATAGCCATTATGTTAACTGCTGGTCCCAATACTTTTTGATAAATTTTTAACATGTTTCCATCATACACACACAAATAAATAAATTAGATATCATAGGTATTTATTTGTCATTAGATCAAAGACCCCTTGGCAGTCCTCATCTTCATAGTCTCTTGTATCACATGAGCACAAAATTGTAGCATAGGATATGTGGGTGTATTTTTTCTGGAAAGGAAGCTCATAGTTTTTAGCAGCTTCCTGAGTGGGTTTTGGATTCACAAGTGTAGGAACCAGAAAACTATGTACTGACTAAGTCTCCTCCTAGTTCTAAAATTACATAAATTTCAAAGTCTAATGTCAAACTGGTGATAGTCTCAGAAAATTTAGTGAATATCCAGATCCCTTGTATTTGCAATGTCATGTATCTGCCTGAAAAACATTGCAGAGATCTGACGTTTGGTGTTATGTGGACAGGCACTGACTGAGCTCTAAGGTTGGTTCACACCTTTTTATGATTGACTATGGGCTCCTAATTTCCCCTGTGCCTGCGTATATGTACGTAAGGTCAGCCTGACTGCAGGTTATAAAGGACACATCATAACAGGAAAGATTAGAGGCTGTAGATCCACAATTCTTGACTCAAAGCCTTGGGTCAAGAATACTTGACTTTTACTTATCCAGATGAAATTACCTTGATTATAATGACCCAAACTCAATAGGAGCTGAACTAGACGCCCACCCATTAGCTCCCCATCCTGCTTCCCTCTGGAAAACAAGAGACCGGAAGCCACGTGACTATGTGTTTTTCTCTACAAAGAAGATGTCTTACTGATCTGAACATATGCACACAACAGGAAGAGGCCAGAGAAAGAGCCCCGATCCACACCCAGCACCTCCCAGGGGCAGATGAGAGAGGCTGCCTCCAAGTCCTCCTGACAGCTTGGCCAAAGGGAGTTGCTGCAAAAGGAGGAATGGTATTTAATGTAGCTCCAAAGGGTTTAAACCATAGACTCTTAAGATGTTGCTATTTTTTATGCCTCTTTTTAAGTTTTTGACAACCGTAAGACTAAACTTAAGAACTGCTGCCACCATCACTCTGTAACAGAGCACTGACTGTCCGGGGAACTCAAACTTATTTCTATACGTCTCATTATCCTCTCAGACTTCCTGATTTCTCCTCTTTCATCAAGGTATGGTTTTTGCCTTGATTGCTCGCCAATCCAAGTGAATACTGGTGCCTCTTTCTTTTCTCCTTTAGTAAAACTCCCTATGACATCAAACCAGAGGGATGGGCAGAGAAATAAAATTAGTGAAAACACACATTCAGCTCTTACCTTTTGCAGACACTTATGGGTCCTAGTTCCACAGTTGCTGGCTTTCTTTGGACCTGCCTGAAGACATTTTTGATCTAGAGACTAGGATCATTTTCTGAAGCACATTTGACCCTAAATAGCTCAATGGAATCTATGGGTGGGGTGCTAAGGAGACTGTTGATAATATGAAATGTCAAGATTTGAGGTGGGGTATTTTGGACTCTTCACCACTGATCAATTTTTCAGTCTGCTGCTTTATCTACCTGACAGGAAGACTTGAACTACTGCCATTTCTAAATTGTACTTCTAAATATTGACTTAATGGAGAGACTCAAAGTGTCATAACACAGCTCACTGGAGCAATGAAGATTTTCCAGGCCTCATTGAGAGGTCTGCACAATGTCCTGTAGGGAGTAGAGAGAGAAGAGGAGGATTTAAGAAGAGAAATAAAATCAAGTCTTGTTTGGAAGAAATGCCACTGCACTTTATTTAATCTTGCAGAAACAAATGAGCAGTCATTGGGTTATTGGCTGAGGCTGGAAGGGTCAAAGGTGGAGAGAGAAAGGATAATGGTCCCCAGTAATCCTTCCAGCCATTGACCAATAAGAATGGCTGGACACTCGGCTGGGTTGAGCACCAGAGATAACTAGCTCACAGAGAGTTTTATCTTGTGTCCACTTGAGGGCTAGACAATGTCTAAGAAATAAGAGACTTTTCATTCAATTTATATCAAAACTTCAATCCAGGCAGATATTTAGCTAATCTTCATTTAGATCACAGAAAACATTCTGGAAGGCTATCGTTTTAGCTTCTTTCCTCCTGATACTTAACACTATAACTGATCTTAAGGCGTTTTTGTCACCACAGTAGCTGTTGAACTGTGAATCCAAGGAAGTGATTGGTTCTTTCTTGTCCTTCAGGAACTGTTTTGGAGGAGCAACCGGAGATTTTGCATGCAAATTAGGTTCCAGATATTTTTGGTTACTCAGGGATATATAAATTCAGAATCTCCAAGATGCAACAAAAAATAATGTTCTGTGATACTGCAGAGAGAAGTTTGAAATCCGCCAACCGCCCCTCTCTAGGTTCTACTCTCACCTTGCCATGGTGTTGACTTCCATAGCTAATCCAAGAGCCATGGACAGGAGATCCTGTGTGGAGGCGGCGTGTGGTGTTGAGAGTTTGTGGCAGAGGTACTCCTCAGGGTATGAAGAACCCAAGTTCTGAGAGACAGAGTGAAACCAGATACTGTAGAAGATGGCCTTTATTCCTCTTGGCGATTCTTTGATTTGTTCTAAGGTGGTTCCTAAGGTAGCTTGTCCCACTTGTTCCCTATCTTATGCCTAAGCATGGGAACCCTTTTATTTTTTATTTTTATTTTTTTATTTTTATTTTTTTTTTGAGAGAGATTTTCACTGTAGGGCGCGTGCGTTCGCCAGACAGACAGAGAGAGACATAGAGACAGAAAGCGAGAAATCACCCCCCAGGGGGGATGGTCACGCCGCAATCCCTTCTCCTCCATTCTCCTCTCGGGATCTTGGGCACGCACGCACACGCGCCCGGCGTGAGTTTTAAGCCACCGGGTCCGAGACACGAACCGCGGTCGACTACGTGGGAATCCAGCGACATAGCCATTACGCTAACTGCTGGTTCCCTATTTTTTATTTTTAGAGACTTTTTGTTTGTTCGTTTGTTTTTGCTATAGGGAGCATGCACTCGCCTGAGAGGCAGAGAGAGACAGAGACAGAAAGTAAGAAATCATGGCGGGGGGTGGAGAGGGATGGAAGGATAGCCACGCCACAATCCCTTCTCCTCCATTCTCCTCTCAGGATTTTGGGCACACGACGCACAGGTGTCCAGTGTGAGTTTTAAGCTGCCAGATCTGGGACTTGGACCACGGTCAACATGGGAATCCAGCCATATAAATCATTATTCCATCTGCTGTTCCTGCATGTGGACCCTTTTATTCGTTGATAATCATGCTTCTGAGAATGATCCCAAAGTGCAGCAAAACCTCCTGACTATGAACCTCATCACACTGGGCTCAACCCTGAGCTTGGCTCCTTGGAGCAAGCCTCCTTAGCCTGGCTCATGCACCAACTTGCTTCCTTAATCCAATGTGCAACTCCATGAACAGGCAAGCCTCCATTTTAAATAATGGAAGGAGTCCTCCTAAAACTCTTCTCTTGTTCAAAACTGTCTCATGTCAACCGAGGTGGCCACTATGAACAGAAGCCTATATATCTTCTGAAGAAACCCTGTGTCGGTTCCCCCAGAACTCTATCTCCTGGTAGAACCAGGCTGTATCTGTTTTTCTCCCCAGTTTTACATTAATGTATCCATCCCCAGCTCTCATGAGCTCACCTATGGGTGCCAGTCACTTCTTGGCAGCTTTTATGGCACCCCTGCCCAGCCTGGCCATGGGTCTGGTTTCCATGGTCTCCATCTGTCTGGGTTGTGTGCTCCCCTGAGAGCTGGCATAACTTTGAGTACCCTGAGCAGCTCCCATGTGACCACCTCCACCCAGCATCCTCCAGACTCCGGCTGAAGGCCCACGTCCTCAGTGTGGGCCATCTGTGATTCAGCTCTGGCTTACTCATCCTTCTTTTCACTCTCCTCCACAACACGCCAGACACTCACAATTCCCACAGGCTGCTGCTGCCCCTCCACCTGGGCCAGTGAGGTCCTGCAGCTGCTTCTCCACATCTAGCAGGTGCTCTTCATTGATCCCTTCACTTCCTCTAGGCCTCCCCTGATGTCCTCTTCCATCATGTCAATCATCACTTTGATACCACTAAGAGTGGGGAAAACACGGTCTACAGCCACATGCATAAAAAGCCAAATTGCTCATTTACCCAAAGAATCAGTGCCATCAATGGGAACACCATGGTAAGTGGATTCTTTTGTTATCATTAAATCCTCTTATCCTTACTGGAAGATACTTAATCTCCATGAGAATATCCTGAGAACTTTTTGCAGAAGCCAAGGGAGTTTGCATGACCACTTATCTCATTGCAATAGGTGAGTTAGTTACCCACTGATCTAGCAGGTACAGGAGAAGTCTTAAAACAAAGGGATTTCATTTAATGTACTACTAGAAAGTTTGTGAGTGCCTTGAATTCTTTTCAGAATTGTAAATGCGTTCAACATTGTATGAAAATGGTACACCAATCCTTTTGTAAAGCCGATAAGCATAGCATAACTGATCTACCTTGTATATCTAAAACTTTGCACATGAGAGAAAGTTTAATGTTCTGTGGCAGAATTGCTGAACCAAGAGAAATGGTACAGTATCTGCTCTGATGCAGGAGAGTCCAAACAAACAAACAAAGTTTAAGATGTATTTCTTAAATAATAATCCCCTTTTCCAAAGCATGGCTTAGCCTTCAAATGGAAGCTCTATATTGTTCCCAGAGACTCCATGGGGCTCTGAGACTTGGAAGGTGGAGGGGGTCCAGCTGTCAGCACACTCACCTGGCCAGTAGTACATGTGGACCTTCCTTTTGGCTTTGGTCAGAGTGACCCACAGAGGTTCCGATCCATTCCACCAGAGAGGCATCAGGCTGTCTCTGTTGACACCGATGTCAAATGACTTGTTGGTGTTGGGGTCCCACATGTAGTTCCCAATCATCTGGTGGACCTCACAATGGCGGCCTACATTAACAAGGATACAAAGCTGTCAGATTATTATTCTAGTTGTCTTTATTTTTATCTTTGCTTTTTGATTAGAAAAGCTATATTAGGACCAGCAGATGGCGTAATGGTTACGTCACTGGATTCCCACGTAGTCGACCATGGTTCGAGTCCCAGACCTGACAGCTTAAACTCACACTGGGTGCGTGTGCATGCGTGCCCAAGATCCCAAGTAGAGAATAAAGGAGAAGGGATTGTGGCATGGCCATCCCCTCTGGGAGGTGATTTCTCGATTTTTTTCTCATTGTCTCTCTCTATGTTTCTGGTGAGTGCACGTGCCCTATAGAGAAAACCTCTCCAAAAAAAAAAAAAAGCTTTATAGGTCAGCCAGATTGGGCATGGTAATTAAAGCAACTAGATCCCACTAGTCAAGTACAAAGTTTGGGTCCTGGACCATCCAGCATCTTGCAAAATATGCTGGGTGGGGGAACCAGCAGTTAGCGTAATGGCTATGTCGCTGAATTCCCACATAGTTGACCGTGGTTCGCGTCCCAGACCCGGTGGATTAAAACTCACACCGGGCGTGTGTGCGTGCGAGCCCAAGATCCTGAGAGGAGAATGGATATATGCTGGGCATGTGTGTGTGGTCTATATGTGTTTGTTCTCAAAATCTCAAGAGAAAAATGGAGGGGAAGGGAGTGCAGCATAGCCAGCCCCCCTGGTGGGTGCTTTCTCACTTTCTCCCTCTCCCTCCCACCATGAGGTGCCCTACACCAAATTTAAAAGAGAAAAATAATTTTTAAAATTGCTTATGCTTAGTTAGGAAGTACAGAACAGTATAAACATGATTTTGTTTTCAGGCTAGCCCTGTGGTCTGGTGATTAAGGGATCTGGATCCCACATGGCTCGCCACAACATTTCAATCTGGAACCTGGTGGCTTGAAAGGCACACTAGGGGTGCATGACACAAGTGCCCAGGCTCCCGCAGGAAGGAGAAATGGAGGAGAAGGGATCGAACCATGACCCTGTGCCCCTGGGAGGAGGAAAGCACCCCGTCTCTTTGTCTCTCTCTGTTGAGCACCTGTGCCTTCTGGCAAACTTTAAAAACCTTAAAAAAGATTTGCTTGTCATTTTAAATCATTATTGTAGATGTCTCTTCTTTCTTAGACTTTAACACGAAGGCCCACAATCCAGTGAGAGGGCCACTAAGGGACCGGACGTGGGCTCGTTGTGAGTGAGGTTAACCTGCCCAGTCAGTGCTGTTTTCCATTACACGGAGGACATTGCGTGCCACGTCTGTCCCGCCTCCTTGTTCATGGCTTGAAGTCTAAATATGAATTAGGATAGAAGTAGCAGATCCAGTGAATTTCCATGGGACTGGGTTTAGATTTGCACCCCAGAGTTCTCTCTGCACCCCTTCCAAGCCCTCCTCCCACCACATCAGGAGGCTAAGTTGTTATGGAGCTTATTCTCTTTTTTCTTAGAGAAGAGGAATTGTTGCTTCAGTGCTGAACAATGATACAACCTATGACGTCTGGAACAGAGCGGTGAAAAAAATAGATTTGACTTTGAAAAACAAAGCGAGGAAACAGCCTTCCAAATGGAGTGTTCTATAGACACTGGGGTTAGTCCTGTTGGGCACAGCTTAGTCCCAGAAGACAAGCCAGAAGTGAAAGACACAAGCGCCTGGACTCTTTTGAAACATTAGGCTTAAATTATTTATTTTGGAGCAATCTGTTACATCTTTAAAGTAAAAATAACACAAACATTGGCAAGTGCATCAGAAATTGCTGCGATTTTAGTGAGCGTCATTTGGCGCCAGGATGAAACACGCTTCACCGAGCTCCCTGACTACGAGTAATCAAAGTGGCTCCTTTGGTTTGTGCGTTTGCTGCTGTTTCCTCTTGCCCCCTCCCTGCACCCAACGCTTCATTTGTAAACAAAACCAAGAGGCACTATAAATTCCATTTTTGAAAAATTTGGGAACCAAAAATATCATCAAAGAAAAACCTTTTATTTCATCACCGAAAGCAAGACATTCCACAAATCATTTTCTGAATTTATAGCCCAGAGAGCCAAACAAAATGGTTTTCACCGAAAGCTGTAGGGTTCGATTTTCTTAAATCCTGACCGAAGTGTTCACATGTAAACGAACAAAATTAAAAAGTAAATCAAAAGAAAAATGTCGAGCAATTTCTCTAGTAGTTCAAGAACACATTATTTGTTACCTCCACTGGCATGTATTCAATGTGTTCATACGTACAGTCCTGTGTATTATACACCATGATAAGTGTAGAGGTTCTACTCTGAATAGAAGTGGTCCCCGTCCTCAAGGGGCTTGCAATTATTTATTTACTAGATTTTTTTTTTACCATGGGGCATGTGTACTTGCCAGAAAGAGACAGAAAGAGGGAAAATAAGAAACTACCCCCTGAGGGGGATGGCCATGCTGCAATCCCTTCTCCATTCTCCTCTTGGGATTTTGGGCACACATGCACATGGACCTGGCATGATTTTCAAGCTGCTGGTCAGGATCCCAATCTGTGGTCAGCCACGTGGGAATCCAGCACCTTGACCACCACACCACCCGCTGGCCCCTAAGTGGCCTGTAGTTTAATACTCAACAGAGGGACTCTGCCTCACAGACTGACATCCTGGAGTTGTGGCTGACAAAACCCACTTGCAGCACACGTGTTGCTGTGACTAATTCGGGTATGTATTTAATGAGCTTCTCATTAAATACATCCTTCTTAACAATATCATTTCCTTTGAATATATGAATGCTTAGTCATATTAAGGGAATCTCTCTTAGGAGTAAGTGCTCCCATCTATTTCCTTTATCTAAAATGGTACATTCCATCTCAAAAAATGTTTATTATCTCAATGATGCTCACTCTTTTCTGCAAGGCAAGACAGTCATGATAATAGCCATTGGAAGTGTCTCCTTTCCACCCTCCCAGGTGCAAGAACATCTCACCTGGAGCTGGTGAGACAGAAGCTGAGGAAAGGTACACCTTGGAAGCGGATGTGGAAAGCACTACTGAGGTCAGTCGTCCAAGGAGAACGTCTAAATAAATCACTGGGAAAGGGTGGAAATATCAGACATTGGGACCAGCAGATGGTGTAATGGTTATGTCACTGAACTCCCACATGGCCGAGTGTGGTTCAAGTCCCAGACCCAGTAGTTTGAAACTCATGCCAGATGTGTGTGCATGCATGTTTAAAATCCCAGAAAGAGAATGGAGGAGAAGGGATTGTGGTGTGACCATCCTCCCTGGGAGGTGATTTCTAGCGTTCTGTCTCTCTGTCTCTGTTTCTCTGGTAAGCCCATGCACCCTATAGCAAAAATCTCTAAAAAAAAAAAAAGAAAGAAAGAAAGAAAGAAAGAAAGAAAGAAAGAAAGAAAGAAAAGAAAGAAAGAAAGAAAGAAAGAAAGAAAGAAAGAAAGAAAGAAAGAAAGAAAAGAAAAAAAAAAGAAATATGAGACATGGGAAAAGGGACAGATAGCGTAGACGGTGGAAAGCAGGGATGTCTGCTTTCAAGTCTGAACTGTATGGACCATTTTAAAAGAAACACACAAAACCCAGGTATTGGTAGGGGCCTTGTGGGATGCAATTTTCATGAGGTGCTTGAACCAAGAAGCATGAAGCAAGAAAAAATCACGCTCAAGTAAGTTGTGATCTGTACTTATATATCTCAAAAAGCCCACAATATCATTGGGCGAAATGTCTCTTCTTTTCTTCTGTAAAGTTTATTATTTTTTTAGATAATTATTTATTTCTTTAATTCCATTTGTTATTATTATTTGTTAATTTGATCAGAGAGACTCAGAGAAAGGGAAAGTGAGAAAGCAAGCCACCAGGTCTGCCATGTGGGAATCTAGCACCTTTAACCGCCATGCCACCTGCTGGCCCAAGTTTATTTATTTTATTTCTTCTGAGAGGAAGAGAAACACTCAGAACACGGTCTTCCCACCATGATCCGTCCCCAGCCTTGGCCATCCTGGATCACAGGCAGAGCATACCTTGTGCCCAGCATGTACAAAGGGACCCAGGATATGAACCCAGGGCCTCCCCATGTGGGTGCAGCATGGCAGAACTCCGTCTTACCACTGCACCACTGGCTGCTCTTCCTTCTTTTTTTTTTTCTATGTTATTTTAATTTTTTTAAATTTATTTCTTCTATGAATGAGACAGAGAGAGAGAGACAGCAGACCCAATAGGCTCTCCATACTGCAGTCCTCCCCCAGCCTCTAACCAGCCCTGGATCATAGTCAGATGTATTTTTGGCATACTCAGGGAAGTCTCCAGACTTGAACCAGGAACCTCCCCATTTCAGATTGTCTCATAGGGCATCACATTTTACCACTGCACCACTGTCTAGCCCCCATCTTATTTTTAACAGTTACATTCAGCACTCTGGACCTCAAAGTGTTGAAATATTCTCTCCCTCCTTTGCTGTCTACTCTCCTGCAGATTGTAAAGTTGTTGTAGACTGAATCGGTTGTGCATGCATGTGTGTGTGAGGGAGAGAGAGATGGAGAGAGAGACAGAGACAGACAGAGATGGAGAGAGAACATTCCCCCAGGAATTTCTGCAGGGTGGAACTGTTTCACCAGGGAGATTCCTTCGGACTTCAATTTAGAATGCTGGTTCTATTCTTTTGGTGGATTAGGTTTTGTGTTGGTATGGGGGGCTGTTCTCTTCAAAGACTTTGTGGCAGATGCCATGCTAATCCCTCAGGGTTCCCCTCTGCTCTGGAAAGAGCTGCCTTCCCAGAAGGCAGCAGGAGGACATGCTCCCATCTCATCTGCTCTGCTTCTCCTCTCCCAGACGGCTGTTTCCTTCCCGTGAACGCAGCGTGGCCGGTGGTCGGAGCGTGTAAGAGTCAAAGTGTGCTCGGATTCAGGCTGACTGCTTTGCCTACCCTGGCTCTGTCTTGCTCTTTCATTTTTATTGCCTGGGTAAAAGTGGTGGCTGAAAGAACAGAACAGAACACAATGTACTGGCTTCTGCAGCCCA